TCTGCGTGAGATAAAATGGAATGTGCTTTGCACATTTGCGGATTTTGAAAGTAAAGTTTTGCTTGCTTTTTCGCCTGAATTGTTTCACGGTTTAAGCTATTATTTGCTAAGAAGAGGTCTTGTTTTATGGAGGGAACTTTTCACCTTAAGGTGGGAGCCTCAGAAAGACCTTGTGTTCAATAAAACTGCGCTTGTCTTAATTTTAATATACCTTCAGTGAAAAATAGTTGTTGTTTGTAGAACTTACAGCAGTTCGCGGTGTTTTGTTTCAAATCCGCTGAGATACTAAATTTAGCTACGACCTTAAGCCTCCTAATTTAAATATTTTTTCAATAGATCCCCAAGCGTTAACAGTCCTTTTAAACGTTTTGTTAACCTTTCAATTTGAAACATTTTATTTTAAATGTCTACTTAGATATAAATATGGATATATGAACTGCATTAGGCTTTGTGTGAGGAGTTTGCGACAGACTGGTGACCTGTCCAGGTTAGAAAATGGATGGATATCTTTTAGGAATTATGGAAAATTAAAGAAGCTTCATTAGGTATCATCATGCTGCTACAGAACTATTTCCTGTGTTTTTTCATGAGTATAGCTGAAGTGATGAGACCAGTTAATTCTGTGACCATGAACAAAGTCTCTATATGTCAAATTTAGATATTCTTTGTTCTGTTTTATTTTAAATAAGAGTCTATTTGGATTTTTAAGCTATTTATCTAGGAAGTTCAAATCTTTGGACAAAGGACCAGAGAGGGGATGATGAGTTAATAGAGAAAGTGGTTGTGTTGACTCACTGCAGGACCAAATGGTGCAAGTCAGAATAATTGAACTGTATTGTTGACCTTGGGAGAGAAGGTACATTGTGTCATTCTTTACTGCCGTAGCCTGGCATGAATTTGATTTGACACTCTGTGCATCCTCTGTGCATCCTTTATACAGTTTTTGTTTTTTTGTAAGATGTTGAAGAAAACTGTAGATATTTCATGTGGTTTTCTTTTCTTAACAGGCATGGACAATGAATCAAATGCGAACACAATATTCAGTCATCAAAATCCACCAAATACGAACCACCTAAAGCCTCTTTCTGTCTATTCCCGGATGGTCATGTCTGACCAACAGAAAGGTCCTCGTTCCTCAATAGAGCCTTCTAATCCTTTTGTCAACTTCAAAATTAAAATAGTTAACGACTCTGGGAGAAAAAGGAAACTGGGGGATAGTGGCACGACCAATGATTACAACAGTCCATGTAAAAAGCAGAGTAGTTCCAATGCTCTGTCCCCAGACCTTGGCTGCTTTATGGACTACTCTAGCCCTCTTACTAGGAACAATTCACTATCCCCCTTCGCAACCTCGTACCCTGTGCTTAAAGAAGAGACTCCAGCTGGGAGGGAAACTAAAGAACCTGTGAGCTCTCGGCTGGATGTGGAGCATGTTCAGTGTGGGTGCTCCAAAGAGGAGGTGGAGAAAACTGAGAAGATCGTCAAAAACATGTCATCTGTGTTTGACAATGACGTTGATGACATCTTGTGCCTCAATCCACCGAAACTGGAGATGGTAGAACCAACCATTCAGGAGGCAAAACCTGATGCTGGACTGGTGGAGGATGATGGAGGGTATGTTTCCTCTGTCTTGCATTCAGGAGAATGCAAGACAGAGAATCCACCAGAGCAGATGAGGCACGAGCAAGCGTCAACATGTGGTCCGCACTTTTCTTTTTTAATTAAGGACAGTAGCGAGACTGTGAGCGGACCACTCCTGGAGCCTGTTAAGTGTGATGGAAGCTTTTTAGAGGGAGAAGATGAGGTTTTTAATATTGGACAGCCAATATTTGAATCCTCTGTATGCCAGCCATCTGCTGAAGTGGAGCAGAAGAGTGGGCTATCAGAAGCTCTTAAGATGCCTATAAACATATCTCAGACCTACAACTCCGGAGACTACACTCTGGACACTTTATATGAAACCACATTGCCCTTACAGGTGCAGGTAAGTTGCCTCAGCTGTTCTAGTATATAAAGATCAGTTCCTTTCATTCTGTAGTATTCACTCTAATAATCTTTGCTCTCCATTAAGGTTAAATCAAAAGTGGTGGTTCCAGGTCAGAGTGAGTGGATCAGCAAACCAGCATCCTCTACCCAACCAGAACAGAAAACAAGCTCTGCAGACAAAAAGAGGGATAAAACAATCAAGCGTGGAAGGGGTCACAGGTAGTTCAGTATCTAAACTGACCTCTAGATGGAGCTGTGACTTCTTTTATGTACACGCATTCATGTCTTTTAGGCCCAAAATCCTTGACAACAGTATGGAATGGGAACATCATAAAAGGCAGTACATATTTTCTGTCAAAAGCCACATGACTGAAAATCCAGGTAGAGCTCAAGGTAAGAAACTATTCCCAGAGAAGGGATGAAATTCCTTTTCAGACCTCCTAGTTGGTGAAAGACATCTGCTTTCTCCTTTACTAGAGTTCTTACTGCTTTACCAATGCTCAACTCTGGAAAAATGTTTATCCAAGGAAAAATATCTAAAGTTTACAGGAACAGAGAACATCAGTTGTTGGGATCATTTGAATGTTTCTGTCAATGTGCCGTGTTGGTCTTAAATTTCATTCCTATTAAAAGTTCTGAGTTTGAACTTACTGTAACCTGAGAGACTCAATATTCATACATGTTATGGTGTTTCCTCCGCAGGACCATTTTCACACTTACCAGTTTTATGGAGCTATCCATTTATCTGGGTTGTTCCCACTGGAGGAAGAAAATTAGATTAACAGGGACAATATGGAGCTAACATGGCATTTACTGCAATAGTAATACAAATTATGATTAAAAAGTTCTGAAAAATTATTTTCATGGAAGCAGCAGTTGGATAGAAATTTATAAAAGTACTAACTGCAACAATAATTTGTCATAGGTAATTGATTCTTGAAGTCAGTTTTTTTTCTTTTTAATTTAACACTTTTATGCTTTCTCCATTTGTGTAAAATTAAAGCCATGGAAATGGTTCTGAAGTTCCCTCCCGGCTCATATATTAGTATAACTTTTTTTCCTAATCTGTTTATGGGCTAGTGGAAATGAACTGAGGTTCCCAAAGTTTGGTTATTCAGTTAATTCACATTCTAATAAGTAGAGCAGAGGCATTTTCCCCCCCACAGGTAGTTTGATCATGTTTTTCAGTTAAATAATAATTTTGGCACTATTTTGTATTTTCTCAGGTTGTCTATGAAATAGAAATTGGTTGAAAATCTGAAACATTTTACTCTGTCAAACACACAACAGCACTATAATTTATGATCTGCAAAATGCCTTTTTGTTCTGAAGGACCCATGACTGAACTTCTGGACTTGATGACGCATGTTGCCGGTCAGACGGGCTCTAATGGCTCTCAGTGGCAGCACCCTTCGGATCTCACATGCAGGTGCGCACATCTTTAGCTTGAAATACACCGGATTGATCTGTGGTTTGAAGTTATGCTGCTTTTTTTAAGAAAACTCAGAAGTTGGAAAAGAACCCAAATACGCAGACTTGTAGTTTCTATGTTGTCCACCATCACTTTTAAAAACCTGAAGAGTTGCCTATAAAAACTTTTGCCTAGATGCAATATCACAGTGAGTAATAGGCATATTTAAGATGCTGTTGTTTTTCAGAAATTACCAGAAACGCTTTGGGAACGAGACACCAACCATGACCCTGAGTGAATGGCAGGCACAGAATAATACTCAGCACAGGCGCTTCTCCAAAATCCCCAAAATTTTCGAAAGGAGCCCCTATCCTTGAATGTGCACTTGCAGAATAACCACGTTGTATTTGCTCTACTCTTTATAAATCTATATTGTATTTTATTAGACTATATATCAATGTTAGCACTGTTTCTTTTTTCTTGATTTTGTTGCATGTAATCTTGTCTGTTGGCTTTAAATGTTGCCTTTGTTTTTCTTAATATTTTGCATGCACTTTCTTATATTAACACATGTTTTAAGAGATTTGGACGTTACTCATGGTAAAGATTTATCTCGTGTGTTTCCAGGACATAGGTGGACCTACATATATGTGTTACTTTTTATTTTTTTTACTAGAAATGAAGCAACCATAGTTTAATACTCTTTTCATCTGTTGCTATTGATTTAAAGGATCAATCAGAGGGCTGTGGTTTTGTTTGGCAGGGAGACCAGTAATGATGTTTGGACTGTTCAGTTCATGTAGAAGCTCTGGCTTTGTGTGATTGTCAGCTTCATTTTGAGTTCTCCTCTTACGGCAGTGTCGGTGTGTTCTGCAGGTGGATGCTGACAGATTTGATGTGTGAATCTTATCAGTATGGTTGCCCTGCACTGAATAATCCATGCTGTTTTAGTCAAGACTTGTGCAACTATTTATAGTACAGCAGTGTATTTCTTTTCCTTTTTATGAGCAGGATCACTGCAGCAAAAGAGTTGTTGATCTGGCATGCCATGCAGTTGTACAGCTGTGTTTAGGCTATCCAAAACAGGGAGGGAATATACTTAATACTAAGAAATGTGTTACTTTGAAGCTCAGTCTGGTTCTAATGTTGAGAAATTGATTTCACAAGTTTACTTACCTTTTCTATTACAAGTTGCTGACTTCTGTAAGTCAGCAACTTGTCAGAAATCAGAAATCAGGTTGCTGGGGGTTCTGATTTTGGATGATTTTCTTATAGATTTAATTACTCTCCTATTTCAGAGGAAAGGTTTAGTTTTAATCAAAGTTTTGTAAACCTGTTTACCTTAAAAAAAAAAAAAAAAAAAAAAAGAGTCACAGTCTTGACTTTCTTACCCAGAAAGATTGTGTGCACCAAATTAAGAGCTCATTAAAATCTTTTTTGATTGGAAAATATTAGAATTTTATTTCATTTAAGCATTTACAAGTAAGCATACACCATTGTCTTCATAACTGAAGTGTAAAGATTGTGCATAATAGTTCAACCATGCTAGCCCTCATGACCGCTGTACAATGATCATAAATATGAAAGCAAAAATAAAGCAGTTAATTTTTTTTCTAAAACATGCTTTTGATTCTCATTCCTGGGTTTAAAAAACCAAACACAACCCATGGGACAAAATCCACTGTTATTTTTGACAAGGTTTTTCGTTACAGTCTTCTCCTGTTACCAAACACATTTTAAATATACCGTAGTCCAGTACACTTATCAAATGCCACACTGAAACTAAACCTTCTGTGGTTTGACCCCCGAAGGGCTTGGTTGGAATGTTGTTTTCTTACAGTTCTTACAGAAATGTGTGCGCTATAACTTCTTGACATACTCACAATCTGCTTGAAAATGGAAGATCTTTTGAGTTAATTATGGGGCGGCCCACAAATGAAAACAAATCAGTAAAGCGGTAAAATAGTTTGATTCAACTAGAATTATGTGGGGGTTTTTTGCCTTAAATTTCCAGGTTAGTAAGATCAGTGGGTCAAAGCTGACATCCAAATTTAGTAGTGTCAGTTCACAAGCATTGTGTCTAATATAGTACGTTTCAAACAGGCATGCTAACAATGGTGAAAAGTTACCATTAGGGAAAGAAAAGCCCCGAACGGGACTCATAACGTTAATGACAGAATTATTTTTGCCAACCCATTGCCCCTCTGAGTCGGGATGTTTCTTTGTATGTTTCCATGATTCATTTCAGAAAGTTTCCTCCACCATCTGGAAACTTTGTCATTTTAAGATTTAATGTATAGTCTTGTCTGCCTATTCATGCATTTCTCCACAATTTGTCCTCTCACCTTTTGTCTTTTTTTGCTCGTTTTAAAGTTAAATCTTCCTTGCTGAAGAAATACTTGCCATTAAACTCGTCATGAACCTTTGCATTTGTGCCTTAAATTTAGGATAAAAGTGCTGAAAATTGTAGAAATGCAAGTCTGGATTTTCCAGAGTGTAGAAAAGTCTGGATTTTCCGACCATTCCCCATCTCCTTTAAAAGTTGCTTTCACCCCCCAGTCCGTCTGTTTTCCCATTTCTATTAATTTCATGTTTCTAGACACTGCTTAAACTCATGAGGGAACATTAGTGGTTCGACTTTACAAATTGACTTTATGAAAATTTCATTTTGAATCCATTCATTTTGAAATTTATTTGAGGAATATCCCAGGTTCAACAAGAAAAATTTAAAGTAAAATTGAAAAATATTTGTAAATAAAGACTTACAACCGGCATTCAAAGTTCAGTAGAACCCATTTTCCCCACCATAAATAAATTTGCCCTTGTTTCCATCTTTTGTCATTTCCTCTTCAATATAGTTTGTCCACTGGCGTAAAAGTGAATAACTTTAGTCTTGAGTCTGGAAAAATGCATCTGAACATGAAGAAAGAAAAAAATGTTTTGAATTAAGTCATGATGATTCATCAGGATTGACAGAAAATTAAATGGATTTTATTTTTCTATATTTAAGGAAGTTTGTCTTAAAAAATAGGATGGTGTAACAGTTTCGTCTTAAAAAAAAGTTGGACAATTTCGAAAAAGCATTTCTTACAACATTCGTCAAATTCAGTCAATAAAATTTGAATATTTACACAAAAGGTTGAGATATACACTGCAGTTCACCGCATTTATATAAAATGTGCTCCTTTAAAACAGTTGAGACTTTCTGTAAGTAGTTGTGGTATATTGGTCATAATAATAAATAATGCTGGAAAATAAGTCAAAGTAAACATCCGAGTGTCTGTTACTGAGTCGTGTTAAGTTTGCTGTGAAGTGCTGATGCGGCTGCAGAGCACTGAGAAGTTTGGGAAACGCGAAATGAGTTTAATTAGATGGAAAGTCCCAACGAGCCTGACTTTAAAATCACACTCTGATATTGGCCTCTGCTCACTGGAGGAGCACGGTCTTAAACTCTTTCTCCTTTTTTTTCCTCAGAGCTGTGCCAAAGAGTGAGAGCCAGATAATGGCGATAAAAGCCTGCCATTAAATTAGTCATCGTTCTGTCCACTCTACTCCAGTGTCACCTTCACTGATCTCCATTTTCCTCCTCCTTTCTCTTTGTGCTCCAGACTGAAGGGGCGATGGCGTTTTGTCATGTTTTGCGCTATTTGCAACCCATTTTCTGATTTCTACAAGCCAGAGGATTTTCTTTTTCAGTACTTGCTCATACCAACTCCTCCTTTTGAACATAAAAGGCATTATGACATAATAAAAATTCTTAAGAATAGTTGAAGTCTTTTTTAACAATACTTTTCATAAAACTAAACAGTTTTGACAAAAATGTGATCTCCTATAGCTTCCCTACAAATTCAGACATTTACATCAACCTTATTCCACAAACCTCTCCAGACTGACTGTTCTAAATAAGACGTTTAAAATGTATTTACATATCAGATACTTGCCAATTCCTCCAAACCACATGTTATTTTTCCCTTCACTTTTGCACGAACATTTAAATGCTGGGTGAAAGATAAATATAATGCCACAACAGTGAGATACAAAGCCAAACATCTTATAAGTTATGGGATACAATTATTGTTAAGGCAGTACTACTCAGTGTAAATCAGCCCTCAAAAACATCATGTATGCACTTACCACAATAGCTATTCTCATCACCATGGACTTTAAGCACGTTTGAAATAATAATTCAAAAAGTCTTGAAAGAAGCCCTTCTGTCTCGACATCTGCTCAGGACGCCGTAAAGAAGTCTCAGGGTTCCCCAGTTGGGCCCGATTTAAAAAATATTTTTTTTTTCCATGCTTGCCAAGAGAAATATTTTTATTTATTTATTTTTTTCAACAGAGCTGAAAAGGCTTTTTTGAGGATCTCTTAAAAATGATACCCAAGGGTTGTTCCAGCATACTTGAACATCCAGTTTGTTCATCCATGACATGCTGACAGTTTTCCTTTGTCAGAGGATCCAGAGTTCAAGTCATGACTTCCTTCGTTTCCTCTGAGGGGCTGTTATTGCTGATTGAAGGGATCTCTTCTCCTCAGACGTCCGTAGAGTCCAGCCCCATTTATAGTTAATTAATTAGATGAATGAACTCCATTAGGGGAGTTCTGCTGCTCACCAAAATGACGTGAAATCCATCACGCTCAAAAAGAAAGACACCAGGAGGTACTAAAGGGCTCGTTGAGGGAGAGGAATGTTACATTTTAGAAGTCTATAATAAAAAAAGACGAGAGAAATTACAGGCCAGACTTGAAGAATTATGCCATATGTATGAGTTAATGACAGTGAATGATTTTAGCCGACTGATCCCTCTAAAGCTGCTCTGGTGACATTGCAGCCTGTACTGGAAATGGCTCTTTTGTTACCCGGGTGGAGTCTGGATTCCCTGAGGGGGGAATACAAATGTACCAGAACAGCAAAGAGTCTCTGCACTTGGGGAGTTACTGAAAAAGCCCAAACAGATACCAAAACATCAAATGTACTGTGTAAGCCCATGAGGAAATAAGCGTTAAAAGAAGCTTAAAGTACCACCCAGAAAAGTTAAGTACAAATTCTTCCTGTAACAGTTTCTGGCTCTGTTTGATCAGCCTTGGTCCCTGGGGTTGGTTCGTCTGCAGTCTCTCCACAACACTAATAACCGTGACCCCAATGTACTGTCACTGAGCACAGACCTGCTGCTGAACTCTTCCTGCAGTCTTTCTGCTCTGCTAGGAAATGAGGCCAAACTCAGCCTCATTCTGCCACGTCCTCTGGAGTCCCTGCAGCTTCACCTCCACACCAGAACCGGTGTTTAAGAAGAGAAAGCGGCGCCTGCATGCCCAGAGTCCCTCTGTCCCAGCGTCATCCTGACAGCTGATAGACCTAAGGGGGGCTTGTTGTTTGCATGAAGTCTTCCGAGTAAAGAAAAAGACTCATCACACCTCAATGATGTTGACAGATGGCAACCTGTTGTTGTTGTTCTTGGGGAACTGTTGGAGGAAAAGAAAAAGAAACATGAAGGCTCTGTAAAAAATATACACTGATGAGCATGAGAATGCCTCTGAGAATTTGCTTGGATTAGTAGTTTCCTGCACAGATGAGTGTGATATGGAGCTCTGCAATGTTCCAAGCAGGACAGTGCAAAGGTTTAATATCGCAGCTAAAATCTAGACATGTTTTCTTTCAACAAGCCAGACTTTCTCACAACTGGTTTCAGTGGCCAAAATAAAACCAATAAAGATCTGAGTTTTTATTTTTATTTTTATGCCATTCTCTGCTTAAAAGCAAAAGGTAAAAGTGTCTCTTCTATGAATGATCCCATTTTTGGTTAGCTAATATATTATGTAGATTTTAAAAATGATTTCACTTGAGAATGCAATTTTGTGGAATTGGGATATATTTTTGAAGCTGTTATGTGAGAATAGATCGTTTACCTTCTTGGACTTTCTGTACTCTGACAAATGTAATAATAATGTAGAATCCATCCTGTGTAGCACAATATGGCCTTCTTCTGATTAGTTGATCAGACCGCTGGGGTTTCGGACTCTCCTTACTTTATTGAATTTAAAATAAAGATTGCTTGACAGACAGGAAGGACTTGCTCCAGACAGATTTTTCTCCAAAGATTTTGATCATGAAAGTTATTTCTTATTCAAGCACAGTTGGTCAATGTTAAAGTTTTAAAGTCATATTCATCAGCAGTTCCTCAAACAATCTGAGGGTATTTCAGTTTATTCCTTGATTGCTTGTGTACGGAAAATATTACTAGAAAATCCGACTCTTTGGAAATGATGTAAGACAACACTTTGTCACAGAATTAGACATCATGACTCGAGTGCTGTTGAAGCAGAATGCTGCAGTCATGCACAAAATGTCGCCATGTTTGAGCAGCGATGCGCTGATGCTCAGATGATACCGGATGAAAGCTAATGACGTGTCGGTGGAAAATAAGTGGAGAAGTGGCCGGGACCATTCACCTGGCCAGCGTCGCTGAGAGGGGAGGCACCCAGGGAGAGGAGAAGGAGCAGAGGGGTGGGTTATACCTTACTGCGCAGCAGCCCCCCCGTCGGGTGTTCAGGAGTACTGCACTCCGAGGAGTTTTTGGCTTTGTCCTTGTTGTTGTTGGGCTCGTTGTCTTTGATTATGTCATATTGACGACAGAAGAGGGCAATCACACCTGAAGGGAGAAAACAGGTAGAGCGCCTGTTGTTCCGTTGTTGTTTTTTTTTTTAGGAAGCAGTGATGGTTGATTTGGGTTATTAAATGAGCCTGTTCTCACCTGCCCACATGATGAGTACGACCACGATGATGATGAGCTCTCCAGCCCTCAGCTGAGTCGCCTGACCCACCTCCTCCATGGTCACTTCGTCTGGAAAGGTCAAGAGGGAGACGGTCATTGGCCATAAAAACTAAAATTGATTTCCTACAGTAACAAACGGGGATTTCTCATTAATCATTTTAATAACTTAGAAGATTTGCTTAGGGTACTCTATTCATTAAAAGAGCCAAGGTCATCTTATTTGGGTCTAGAACCAAAGTAATTCTAAGCCTTCTTTTATTATTGACATATTCATTAATATTCTCCTCACTATAATGAGTTTTCTATACATCTTGGCGCACCACCATTGTTATTCCCAGTGTCTGCCTATCATGTACTTTAATAAGTCAAAACTTATTAAATTAGTAGAGTAATGAGAGGGAGAGTTCAGGATAATCATGGGTGTTGATGAATTTGTTTAATAATATACATAATTGTGATATTATAGATGTTGGTCGCAATAAATTTCACTCACTTTATGTAATGTAGAATGATGTGAGGACAAAATGTTAATGTTCTTGAAGTAAAAAAGAAAAGTGAAATAATGTCTTTGTTGGGAAAAACTGGACTTCAGGAAAAGTTTTGAAATTTTCTACAAATATTGCGAAACAAAGATGAAATACTTTTCATTCATTTTTTTTTTAAATTCATGGCAACTTTCTCATTTTGTGTGTTTTTTTTCTTGTGGTGTCAGCTGAAACAAAAGGTTACGATTAAGTACAGATCTGATGGCATTTTAATTTGGATGGTTTAATCGTATTTTCGGCATTTTGGCACATTTAAAACTTCAGAACAACAATGAAAATCAATAATATTTCAGTTCACATTATTCTAAAACATACAGAGGAGTGATACAGATTAGCAAAGCGCTTTAAGATTTATGTTCTTTAGCCTATTAGTATTGAGAAGCTTTAGTCACTCTCATTGAGCCTGCCAGCTCCTCATAAACTATTCAGACTGGTATTTCTTATCTTCAAGTTCTTGTTCTCTGCAGGGATTTTTTTCCAAGAGTTTTCTCTCTCTGCAGCTTCAAAAAGTGTCACCGCACTGCTGTAGAGCCACTGCCGACACTGAACTGCTCAACTGTCATTTAATCCAATTGGGGTTTCACTGACAGACTTTTTCCTGATCGCTCCTGTTCAAGACCTGTGTTTGTACTCAAGAAGGCTTTTTGAAAATTTTGGCAAAATATGTGAGAAAATTAGTTTTTTTTTTAAGACTTTGTAGTTGACTTTTTTCCAAAAATGTTTCTTGCATTCAGTGAATTGTCTTCTGTTCTCTTCTTTAATGGCAGCAGAACATAGCCCAGGCTTAAAGCAGGCAGGATTTTCTACTGATTTACACACAAATTCAGTGACAAAAGCCTTTTTTCCATGCACTGTTGTGTGACCTGAAGTTTACTGCGACACAAAGAGCTTTCCATCCTTTTATACAACAGCAGCGGGTGACATTTGGTGCGCCCCTTGTGCAGGATCCCCATGCTCCAATGGCTTTTAGCAACAAGCAATTCTACCAATCGATTAGTCGCTTTAAAAAAAATAAAAAAATCAAAGCACAACAGCCTGGGGCCCCTGATGCTTTCAGCTAGCTGCCCAAACTGGACTGACTGGTCGCCTGGAACACCTGACAGAAGCCTGTTTGCTGCTGGGGCTTTTTCTAATTTGTATATATATATATATATATATATTAGTCTTGAATGGCAATCAATATCCTTTTAAAGAAATGGCTAACATTTTTGGAAACAATCATTTGCTTGAAGGTCACAGCAGATGTTTTTCCCCGTTATGGTAATTCGACTTCTGGAAGAAAATGAAACTTGTTAATATTTGAAAGTGAAACAAAATAATCACAAGAAAGCTTAGAATCACTTTGACTTTCCTGACTCTGCATGGATGTGAAAGCTTTGGAGAATATTTGTGCAGATTAGTTAGTTATGAATTTAACAAATCCAGGAAGGAAGAGATTTGGTGATCTTTCAGTTAAAATCTTAGTAAAATACGCAGATGTTTGAGGGTTGCAATGTGATAAAATGTCAAGAAAAAGATAAAATTCTACTTTGAGCTTCACTTCACTGTTTGAAGTTATTCTTAACCTGTTTTGGCTTTGCTCAAGATAAGATTAGTGAATTCTTACCTTCTAGTTGTCATAATAAATAGAAATTGTTTGTACAGCCGAATTTAAGCTTAAATCTCTGAAGGGTTTCTCTTTTTTTGTGTGTTGGCAATTTTGCTAATTTGTCTCTAATGCAGATGAGCTGAGAGACATTTAATAGGCAAACATCTGAAAACATTTATGAAGGCAAAGTCTTTGAGCCGTTACAAAATGATGGAAGTCCTTTGTGACAACTGAAAAGCTTTACGTTTTTTTGTGTTTTCTTAACGTAGTACCACTGAGAGAAGCTTCACATTTATTAGATCCAAGGAGACCAATCAGCCTTGTTTGCATCTGGTTTGAGCAATATTCCTATCTTTTTCTTAACTCATTGCCACATCTTTTTGCATTGAGTATACGTTATGTTGGGTTCTTTTCAACCCAGTTTTTTGTTCTCTTGATTTCGTGTATCTCAATCCCACGATAAAAAAAGGGGAACAGTCTGGCATTTCAGGCTCATTCTTTGCTCCTTATTCTCAGATCAGTGTGATATGGGAGAACAGTAAGGCTGAGCAGCTGAAAGAAAACCTTTCGTTCCTCAGGATGTTCACCCAGCATGTCTAGACAACAGCTGCACTGAGGTCTGCTCCCATTTTGTAAACTGCCCCACTGTCTGCTAGCAAACTCATCTTTTCATGTCAGATTTACAGCACTATTTGCTTTTCATGTTCCTAAATCTCTTCCAGTATCAATTATATCTCTGAGAGATCTATAGGAATATAGCAAAAGGAGGTGTTATAAATGTAAAAGAAACAAAACAAGATTATTCTGGGACATATTACTGCAACAATTTTTATTATAAAACGTGTACCTTTCCAGGTTTTGTGATAAAACAAAATCGATCATGTCAGTTTTCCTACTTTTAAAATATATCAAATATTTTTCAATTAAAAACAAATATTTACATAATATATAATTATAAAATATTTAATATGTGTTTAAAATCCACAGTAGTATACAAATATGGCCTAATAAATAATTAGAGAGACTATCTCTAACTGGATATTTCTCTATATTTTGGTGAAAAAGTGAGGCTGAAATATTTGCAGAGGCTGGCAAGAGATCAAAAGCTACACAGGTTCTGGTTGGTACTGGTTGTGTTCACCATGTCCCTTATGTTCTACTTAAGTCTGGCCCAAGGAGGACTGAAGTCTGTTCTTCCCCACAAAAAAACCTCCAGATCCGACCGCAGTCTTTCAAACCTTGTGGAACAAAGTGTTACAGTCTCATCTAATCAAACTTAAACTTTTGGACACAATTACAAAACGTGCCAGAATTAACGAAAGAGCGGCGACATGAGAAGCTTTGAATATCCAGGTCAAAGTTCAGGACTGAACTTTGACCTGTCCTTTAACTGCTTTTTTTATTTTGAGTTTTTGCCTTGAAACGTTTCTTCTCCTACTCACATTTGCGTTGGAACTGAATGGAGTTTGATCAGCGTCTCAGTCATTTGTAAAACAAGCGTCGCTTTGAATGCTACCGTAGCGAGAAGTTCCTGTGAATTGAATTACAAGATGTTTACTCAGAGAAAAGCTGCTCATCTGCCACAGCAAAATACTCCTGTGTTCTAACCCGGTCGAGTTCATTAAACAGACATCCTTGAAAAAGCACTGCAAATGAAAAAGAGGGCGACTGGTACTGTGCCAAACCGCGAAGAGGTGGTCTCTGAAGATGTTCAATCTTTGATGAGAGGAAAAGGTACGGAAGTGGAAATCTTTTTCATTTCCCAGTGAACCGGGGCTCGGTGCGCATATTTCGTCGTTTTCTTTCACCGTAACTTTATTTTACTGCAACAGTATTTGCTAATAGTTCAAACATTTTAACGATGAAGGAGTATATATTAGGAAGTAATTCAATTTATGGCAAAAAGTCATCAAGTTTTACTCACTGCTGAGCTAAACAGTTTCCTTTATTTGTTCTCTTATAATCTTTCAAAGTATTTCAACTGAAAACTGCAATTGGTGCAGCGTTGCACACATTTTGATGATATTCTTTGATTAAATAAATTTCTCTTAAGTGTAACTCAAATTGCTAAAAATGTAATTTATACTAGGTGAGTCTTTCTCCCTTGAGAATGTGGACCGGTACCGGTACTGGACTGATTCTGTACCTTCAAATGATTTTAACAGAAGTTTCTCATAGCTTAGAAGTCGATGTAAAAATAATGTTTGTTTTAGCCACAAAATGAATATGCTCAGCAGCAAACAGTATTTCCCCAACTACAGCATAGAGCAGCTCAGCTATGCAGCCTGACATAAAAACATTTTGCTAAACATCAAACATTGAGAAGTTTTAATAATTCTTATCAAATGTTATCAAACACAGCATTTTGAAGCCAAAAATACCTCAGAAATATGCAACTCATTTAAAGCTAAAACTCAGTTTCACAGAAACACAAAGACCCGAGTATAAATGTTTGGCTGCTGAACTGGACCGTTCCAGGTCGCTATCAAGGTATAGCTTTACAAATCTTTCACAGGACATTACCAAGACACATAAAAAACAAACCTTTATCTCTATTCTTCTTTCTTTTCTCCCTCTCTGAAAGAAAAGTCCTTTTTTGAGACATTGTTTTGCTAACTTATCTTCTGACTTGAGCTTTGGACGTTTGGATGCTCTCTGCATGGCAGCTCAGGCTCCTGTACCTACCGCGGCCACCAGGGGCCCCCAAAAGCAATTTATTAAATTATTACTAAAAAAAAAACAAACTCTGCTCCACTGAGGGGGCCCCTAAGTAACCTCCGGGCCCTGAGCGGCTGCTTAGTTTGCTCATGCTTTGGGCCGGCTCATGGATCTGGAATTCAGTTTGACATTTAAGTATGACGTCATCCCAAGTGCTCAACGACTTTGACAAAGTCACATTTAGTTTCTTTTTGTAAACGTCTTTATATGTGAAATTTTAAAACATATTATGCTAATAATATATTTTAAACATATTCTGATGTTTTATAATATATTCTGATGTTTTAAGCATGCTTCTTCGACTGCCATGGAGCGCTATATGTTCATTAGAAGTTAACAGATCTAAATAAATCACTTTTACAGTTGCACCATTTAAAAATGAATTACCAGCCGTGTTAAAATGTTTCTGAGTGTGCGCTAAAACCCCCCCGACAACATTTCTGTCCATTTATGAGAACTATTTAGTGTTTGGAGTGACAAAAGCAAATTGCAACAAGATCCAATTAAAACATGTTTGCTTGTGTTTTGCGCATTGGTTGATCTCACTAAATTCTTCCCTGCTGCATAAATAACACTCAGATAACGTATTCAGTATTAATTAGGTCTTGGTGGTCGCATCTCTTCAGTGTTTAGCACTGATTGTTTTCATGTTCTACATGTTTTCTGGCAGCCCACTTAGTTCAGACTCCCTCTGGCTCCAAACAGTGCGGAGCATCGCAGCAGCTCATATGAGAGAAGAGTGTAAATGAGAGGGGGAATAGATGGAGCAATGGCTCAGCCAAAAGCACATCGATTCTCCACCCCTTACAGCTTCCTTACTACCTCCTTCGTCTGTCTGATAAATGCCTTTCCTCATTTTGGTTTACAGTGGTGCTGTGCAGGGTGCATACAGAGTGGCTCTTGCGGAAAAACATCAATAAACAGTGAAGTATGCTTCCCCTGTCGGGCGTTTTGCTCCTTAGCTGTAGTCAGTAGGGGAGAGATGGAGCAGTCTGTTGTGAAATTTCATTTCATGCTTTGTGTGTCTATTGATTTCTCTTGGATTTTTTGGCTAAATCTGTCACTGTATTGTCAAAAGGCCAAGTCCCTTTTGTACTTCTGCCCTAAAAGAGGAGCAGAAGAGCTCTCCTCCATCCTTCTAGGTGCAAATGACCTAACAAGTGAGTGTATTTGCATGTGGCTATTTACTCTTAGAGGCCTGTGTCTCGGCCTCCTTTGGGGTTCGGAAGCGCAGCGGTTCGCTCAGCGGGCTCGTCCCGGACATGCTGACGGACTGGACGTGCACAATGTAGTCTGTCTCCTCTTCCAAGTCCCATAATGCACAGGAGCGCGTGGTGGTGTTGACTTCCTGGATGAACCGCAGCATGCGCACATCTTTCTTCTGTTGAAGCAGAAAAAAACAACATGGGGGTCGACTGATAAAACAAAGACTTGAACACACATAAAAAATGTGGCTTTTAAAGGTAAAGGGAAAGCCAGGGCATGCCGCAGTCACCACAGAGAACCAGGAGGGCTTCTGTGAAATTTTTATTGGATTATACATCTTTCCATCTTTGCATCTTGGCAAACGCAGAGAGTTGTCTCATTTGCAAAATGGGTAAGCTGGAAGCTAAAGGATTTCTGCAGCTGATCAAAGTGGCACCATTGAGCTTTCCAGACAGCATGAATGAAAGCTCCTTGATGGTTTGATCTCTCTGGTATTCAGACGTAGCCAACTTTGTTGACATGTGTGGTGTGTGTAAAATATATTCAACTTTAAGTGCACTAGCATAATCTCTCCATTCAAAAAAATAAGTAGCCTTTAATTTCAAAATATTTAGTCAGTGATAACAAAGAAAAACTTGTTGCTACTATCAATCTCTTAGCCCACACATGTCAAACTCGAGGCCCTGGGGCCAAATCTGGCTCACCATAGATTTTTATGTGGCCCTCTCAACTCCAAATTTCAATTAAATCAATTAAATCTCTCCAGTTTTTCAAAAATCTGCAAAATTCACATAAAATTAACTGATTCCCACATTTGTACTGATTTCACTGCAAATCTGTATCAGAATTGATAACAACAAATATTAGGTTTAAGTGACTGCTGCCTTAGCCTTCTTTGAGATCAAGTTATACTCAGAGAAAACCCCTCCTCACATTTAACATCATGCATTAGCACAAATATTGTAAAAATTTCTTGCAATTATTTCTAATTTAGTATCAGAAAATCTGTGATTTTGATTGAAAAACAATCAAAATGCAGGAGGGACAGCTATTTATTCATATTTTACCAGTTTAATGAGTTTTATCAATACATTCTAGTGCAACCGGCCTTTTAAAAACATTCAAATTTTTGATATGGCCCAAAATGAAACTGAGTTTGCCTTAGACTGATCAGTTTCTTAAAGTTTCTAATTCATAATCCGTAATCATTTATTTACCAGAAGCTTAAATCTGATATGATGCAGAAGGCCATTTCTTTTAGCCCCTGGAAAAGACTGAATGAGTATCAGTAACATTTTGTTTAGAAGAAAAAGGAGCATAGACTGTGTTTAACCCAATCATCAGCATGTAGAATCACTCATCTATCAAAAATAAGTCCCTTTAGTAGGAAATGAGTTCCACCTCATTTCTTAAGCATCTTAAGGTACTGTGATAAATGCTCATCAGCACTCTTTTCTTAAGAGTTCTGATACTGTGAACTGAATTCTTTTGTCAATCATGGAAGCAGGAGATAGCATCGATACACATCGTTGAAAAGCTATGTTGAAAAGCAAAACATCAGAATCCACCCATGTATAATTGCACTGTGAATGTTTAGAGGTTTCTTAGAGAGCCTCAGTGAACAACAGCAACATGGAGACCATTGAAGCAGATGGGTCAGGGAAGAAGTTGTGCAAAAATTTAAAGCAGGGATATTTTATGAAGCCATATGAGTCACTATAGTCAGTCTGACTAAGCTTGAGCTGTTTTGCAATTATTGCCCTCTCTAGCGCTGCAAAGCTAGTAGAGCCCAAATGTCGCTGTAGAAAATAATGAGTCATGGGAGTTTAAGACAAATGTACACCACACTGCCCAGAAATTCGTCTTTTATTTTCCCTCAACTTCTCAAAACACTTTACTGTGTGTTGGTTTGCTTCACAAAAATCCCAATAAAATACATTAACATTTGTGTGCAAAGGTTTTTCGAAAGCGCCGTAGGCCTCTGCAGACTGCCAGCACAAACATTCAAACAAACAACCATGTGGCTGCAGTCTCATATTTAATAGAGCAAGAGAACAATGCTACAGAACCTTTTCATTTCTAATTCTATGAATAATTGATCATGTAAGTCCTCAAATTCCCAAACTGTTCCTTACAAAAACAAGCAAGCGCGTTACTGAAACACTGTAAATGGACAAATAATAAACATTTTTAAAACTGATGTTTTCCAGACAGAGGCTCTGCTGTACATGTGTGTTTATGGATGTAAAATGAGGTGAATGAAGTTAAATGTTTTGCCTGTTTAGACTATTAATACATCCGTGTCTTCTTCACTTTGTTGTGTTTTGTCCACTGATGTCTCTACACAATCTGTTACTCACCTGCTGTGTGATGGCGAAGCCAATGACGGGGTCTCCCTCGGGGATGTCCCATGACACCACAGCAGAGTTTGCTTTCACCTCTTTGATGGTCACATTGACGGGAGGCGACAGGCTATCTGCAAAACAATGAGACAGGAAAAAAAGCCTTTTGTTCACGCTCTAATATAAAGTAAAAGCTCCGTTTCGGTTTAAAAACTACAGGCAGAGGCAGGATGTCTACCACAGCCAGCAAGTAGTCATAGCTTTAGTGTTTATTATGAATTAGGAGGCCTAAATACCTCCCAAATTTACTACATTTTGTACAAAAATCTGTCAGTTATTTCCAAGATTGTTACATCTTTGGTGTAGAGACTATTAGCAGGCAAAGCACTGAATGCACTGACGCCTCATTTCTAGCAACCCTCCGTTGCTGCTTAGGCCAGATTGCTGCTAAGGTTTGAGGGGCATCAACAGCAAAAGAAAAATCTAAATTTTTTTTGTAAAAACCATTACATTATGAAACCATGGTTGTTATACAGTAGCCACATGGGAGAAAATGAAATAAAATCAGTCCTTTGGTTAGTTTAAACTTATGTAAATGTGAAGCTTTGATCTTCACATGCTTGTAAATTAAGTCCCAAAAATCAAAGTCTTTTTTGGGGATTTTCATATATTGTTGTGGAATGAAACACCCATGTCACTGTTTATAAATAATACATTTTTTAATCAAAAAAATATCTTTAAAATAGTACCATTAATGTCTCTATGTATTCATCCAATTTGTATTTTGATTGCAAGCTTTAATATTTAGCAAGTCTTTATTAAAATCTCCCATTTTCTGTCTCTTTGTAAGCATTTGAAAACTAGAGCAATAAAATGCTCCAACACAAACCAATATAAAGAAACGCTAATGACCTTTGACTCATCATCAGAATACGTCTAACGACTAAACAACTCTGTGTCTCCTTGTCGTGCTTTTGGTTTGGTGTCGAGTTCCAAATACACCTCCGGTTTAATTAGGGTCACACTCTACAAGAGCTGCGAATAATAATTTGCCTTCATTACATAATTAGTTGTGAGATTATGTGTTGCTCTGGGTGCACTTTGGTGGCCTCAGCTGCTAGGGACTTGGAGTCCGTAATTATGAAGCTCAAGGCTGCACACGTCTGATGGTAACTGAGGGTTGATCGCATTATTAAAGGACCGGAAAGCTAAGGGAAAGAACAAATGATCTGTTAAAGGTTCTTATATGAAGCAGGGGCTCACAATGAACTTTTAGACTTTAAAGTTAATACAAGACACAAAGAATGACTGAAAGTCAAGATGAGCGTGGGCCTTTATATTTTAACAATTTTGCCCTCGCATCAGAACTCTATTGTTGTGAAATGCTGGATCCTTCCTTTAAGAAGCTCCGATTGATATTTGCTTTGTGGAGCTGAAAGGTGAATAAAGACGCAAAGTTTTAAGCGAGGCCTCTCCGAGGCTTTGACGGGTCATAAATCTTACTCGACCAATCAAATGAAATCAATGAGTCATTGAATAGGTTAACGCTCACTTGCCCTCAGACCAGCTCCAACCTCACAGCTGGTAATTACAGGACAATGGCCTGCTCTATTGCTTGTGTACATACTGTACATTCAGAAACAGGGGCTGCTTTTTTTTGTGCCTTTCTTTTGTTTCGCGCTGCCTCTCGGCTTGATGCCTGTGGCTGACATCTTGATGAATGACCTGACTAACTGCAGATGACGGGACGGAGACTCGCTGCATCTCTTCATCAGAAATAGGGGGGCGACTTTGATGCTTGCAGTGGATTTGCTTTTGTTTACCGTCTGCTGTTTACTTGGTTAGCCTGGAGGACGGGCGTCTGTGGCTCCGGAGCCAAATGAAACCATAGGAATCACAAATGAAGCTTATCATCTCTCTGCTGGTGCTCACTTTATTTTCTGTTCTCCCTCCTGGAGCACATTTATTTCTGTCTGTGACACCATTACTTACTTTACACGTGCTAAACGGCTGTTTAAAAATAATGAATACAAGTCCTTCTGCACACTGTGGGAACGAGCATATTCATGTAGCCTACATTTTCATCTTACCTATCGCTTCACATTACAATCCTCATATTTTAACATTGAGGAAAACTGTTGCATAAAGTGCAAGACTTCACTGTTAAAGCTGAGTTTCCCAACGTTTGTCCTGGTGGTTTTGGCGCTTATCATTTAACTATAAGTACTGCTGAGTAACATGCATATAACAAGCTGAAATCGTTTTGAAAACAAAAGAAAACAAAAAAATGACAGACAACGTTTTAAAGAGTGAATTGTCCTTTTCCTGACTCAGTCAGACAAATGCTGTTCTTGATTGATTTCAAACTCAGCTCCTTGAAAAAATACACTTCCAGATTAAGAGTAATCACAAGTGAACCTATAATAATATGAGAACTATGACCGCTATGAATAAGTGGATGTTATAATTATTTGTAAAACGTTTCTTTTTAATCTGAGAGAAATTTCTCTAACTGAAACGTCTTTCACTTCGATTCTTTGATTATTGAGGCACATTGACATGCTGATGCTATCAAACCTTAGTCTCAACATATTTGTTTCAGTTCAATTTTGATAGGTCCCGTGGCTTACAGAAGATAAATAATTATTTTATCAAATAAAACTGAAAAAACATCCAGAGTTTAAAACTAATTTTGGATATTTTAGAGCTTTCCAGATTTCTAAATGAAACAGACTTTTAACCTTATTATAATCTTTTATTTGTCGTGTCCTAGAGGGACCTTTACAGTGGGCTACTTTCATGTAAACAGGCAGAACTATGAGAATATACAAAGTGGTAAAAAACAAATTTCTTTATAATCTAAAGAACCTTGTGGATCCGTGGTTGTTTGAAGTGAATCTAAAGTCCAGAGTGGTCTTTTGAAAAAGCCTCAGCTAGTGGAAACTGTACTTATGTTTGGATTTTGGAGAAAGCTAACTTTAATCTTTGATTGTCTCACTCTGTGTAGTTCTTCCATATTTTCACTCCAATGTTTGATATTCTGGTGCCTCTTGTGTTTTGTAAAAAGACATACGATGGTCCTACATTTCTACTTCAGAAAACAAGTATTGATTAAAGTCTTTTCAATAAAATAATAGTTAAACTTTAAAAGAAGCAGTGCAAGGTGAATGTGCATCAAATTCAAATGTCCATATATTGCATTTATAAACCTGCTCTCCAACTGTCCTCTTGTCCCAGAGCTTTTGGAAACTTTTTCTTTTGTCTTTGCCCGTCTCCTCTTCCCATGTGTTTCTCTTTGAGGACAGACAGACAGGGAAAGAGAAAGAGAGACAGAGAGGATACAGGGCTGTGACCGTGTTCCTTAAATATCCTCATGACACAGGAGTCAGCCCTAATGAAACACCAGACAGATGTCTTCATAAACTCTCAGTGGCACACAGCCCGCTTTGCTCTGAGACAAGGCGGGGGTGACTTTGAGCCATGACGGATTTCTCTGTTACGTGCGCGTCTTTGTTATCCTGACGATGATCAAAGTGACAGCTAATTGTCAGTCCCACGCTGAGCCGTGTTGAGGATGACAGCTCCTTAATGCTCCATAAAGTTTAAAAGCTGCGAGATACATTGAACATACTGAAACGTTGATGGTTCAGGGGGGAATGCCGAGTGGCCCATCATTGTTTTATTTGTGCTCTCCTCGATTCTCCATCGACCCGAGTCGGACAGTTTGTCTGCCGCATGTTACCAAGTGTGCCGACACATAAGCGTGGGCCGAGTTGGAGGGAGATACTGCAGGTTGCCTGAGAATATGTAATGTGGAGCGTGTGCTGTTGGGTGCTATAAAGATCAAATGATTTTTCTTTTCATGTTCTCTAGCTGTAGAGCTCTGCTTTCCTGAATGGTCTCCGTGGAGCCATTTCTGCTGCCTCAAATCATTTTGTGTCGGCCCATTTAGACATGGCATAAACATGCAGTCAGCTGAGTTACCAGAGGTTTATTCTGATTAACAAAGAGGGCTTAAAGTTCACTGGAACCTCTTTACACAGTACAAATACTTCAGTAAGAATAAATCTGCAGTCAGTCTGCCTCTTGATGTAATCTGATGTAAAGTGCTGTAACTAGGCTGTCTGAGAATTTATCCAAAAACTTGATTTTATATAAACAGACATCTAAAAAAAGGTCAACTTAATATCATCATATTCATTCAATTTCATTTTATTAATTTAAAATGCATCAATGAGTTCCAGGACACAGGCACAGCTAAACTCAGAAGCACTGAGCCAGGAGTACTTTCTACTGAAAAAAATAAAACCCAAAGAGAACACAGTTATTGACAAAAATATCTCCATCCAGGAAAGAGATGCAGCTAAAATCGCAATGCTGGGCCAAATCTGCCATCAACAGAAAGAAAAAGAGAGAACAAATACGACAGCAGCAATAACTGCAATTAATGGAGAGGGGGATCATGGCTGCAGAAAATAGCAGTCAGTATCAGGATGATCCATCAGGTTTGACCTATGAATACATTCATGTCAACACATTAGAACCGAAAATAATGTAAGACATATGCGGTTTTTAAAAATCTCCCAAATTCTGGTGTTTACTTAGACTGAGGTGAGGATATGAAGGCATGTTTAAGATGGAGAGTGTGACAGTTGATCCAAAGAGTATTTAGATAAACTAAAGCATCTAGATGCAAAATAACTTATCACATTGCATTTAAATTGAAATTAAATTTGTTACGCTTAAATGTCTTAGATCTTCCAACAGACAAGGATGAACATAGTAAACCCAAAAAAGCAGTTTTCAATCATTAAAGAAAAACACCTGGCTCCAAACCAAGATAGCTCCATGGGAAAAACCAATGGTCCTCCTTGTTAAACCTAACCCCTAAAACTGCATGTAGAAAGAATATTAGACAGCATACTTGTATAAATGAAAAACAGTACAACGTTTTTACAAAGCCATACATTCTGAATTTTCCAAACTCCATGGATGTAACCGGTTTAGCGACAGTACACCCTGTTGTCATTCCTGCATTGAAACCACAAGCATGCAGGGTGGTGTTCCTGCTTCCATCCAGCCCCACGGGGAGACATGAATTTGTACCACCTTATTCCAGCTCTGCAGTCATTAG